AACCCTAAACCCTAAACCCCAAACCCTAGACCCTAAACCAAGCCTTATTCTTTGGGATAGTGTTCATATTAAGGGGGGGAGGAGAGCATGCGGAACGCACATATCTGGCCTCTGCTGCACGGCATATGCCCAGACGCCAAGCATAGCCGGCAGATCCGACGCCTCTGAGCCATGTTTGTTAATATAGACAAGTCTGCGCACAAACAATTAAAACCTCAATACCCTAAACCCTAAACCCTAAAGCCTAAACCCTAAACCCTAAACCTAAACCCTCGTCTGGGCTTACTTGCCCATGCGCCACGTCGGGATACAATCGCCTCCTGCACATTTTTGTGCCCTGGCTCGCAAAGCCCAAGCCTGGAAAGCCTGAATTCCGGGGTCCTAGAGCTGAAACCACAACTACTCCCAAACTTCCTTACATCTACCCGAAACCCTAAACCCTAAACCCTAAACCCTAAACCCTAAACCCTAAACGCCTTCGTTAGGGCTTTGGGGCTTTAGAGCCCGAAACATCTGGAAGCACGCCTAGGCTGATGGACAGCAGCAGCGCCGAGAAGAAGGGAGTGCCTGAAGCAGGGGCGATTGAAGGGCTTCTGATGAGGATGCCAAGGTTTAGGGTTTAGGGTTTGGGGTTTAGGGTTTAGGGTTTAGGGTTTAGGGTTTAGGGTTTAGGGTTTAGGGTTTAGGGTTTTGGGGTTTTGGGGTTTTGGGGCTTAAGGCTTAGGGCTTAGGGCTTAGGGATTTGGGGTTAGGGATTTGGGGTTGAGGGTTGCTTTGGGGTTTCTTAAGGGGCCCAGTTCAGAAGCTGCCCTGGAGTTCTTGTTGGCCCTCTCTTCATATCTCTTCCCCGCCCCTAGGGTTTAGGGTATACACACTTCCAACGATCAAACCTTAGGGTTTGGGGTTTAGGGTTTAGGGTTTAGGGAAAAGGGATGCACCAACAAAAACAAAAAACTACACCCGAACTACCTAGACAACTCCCGATGCGGAAGCTGTCAGGAGCAGCACATCCCGCAAACCTGAGCATTTATCTTGAGAACCGGAAAAATGCCTCGACAGCTCCGGAACCCTGAAGCCTGAAGCCTGGTAGCCTAAACCCCCTAAACCCTAAACCCTAAACCCTAGAAGCCCACAAGCCTGGCCCCAGTTGAAATCTCCTAGGGTTCTTAGGGCTCAGGATTTGGGTTGCTTGGCTAAGCCCTAAACCCTAAACAGCCCGAGGCCCCCCGCAGGCGCTCAGCAACATCCCTGCTACGGCCAAGGAGATGGCCTCAGCTGCAACGAGCTACCATCTTTTGACGATGGTTGTCTATGTTGGCATCCCTTTTTGGGTTTACCGCAGCCATAAAGGACGGTTTGCAAAAGGGCTCAAGCGAGACCATAATTTCAAGATCGGACATACTGTTTTGGGCATGTGGACCGTCTGGCACGACTTCTTTTGAACCGCGTCTGTGGCGCCCTCTCGTCCCTCGTGTGACAAGTTTGGTCACACAAAAATGTCAAAGTGTTTCGGGACGATCTCGGCCAACTTATGGGGTTCGTATGATAACATACGGAGCCTTATACATGGTACCCCAAACAAAGGACCATAATCTAGAGAATTCCCCACATGTTCAACATACTGCTGTCCACTTCTGGTCCTGTTGGACAACCAGCTCCTACTTGGAGGTCCATAAGTACTTGTAACAGTTTTAAGTCTGCTTATAACCTCCTTAGGGGACTTAGGGGCTTATCAGTGCAGTCATTGCTGGGGGTAAGAAGTACCCATGAACCTCCGAGTATGGAGGACCGTTGTCACCAGGCCTTTGGGTCTGGGTGCTAGGCTTTAGGGTGCTCTCTGAGAGCCCCAAAATACCCCCTTGAATTGAGGAATCTACCTGAAACCAGAAAGGGATACTTGCCATGATGTTTGGGGTTACGGCTTAGGGTTTAAGGTTTAGAGGCCTTTGGGTTGACGCTGTATTCTATATTCCGTGGCGCCCGGGTATGGGGCTCTGGGGGGGGGGGGGGGGGGAATTGCTCCGTGCTCCAAGCCACGGCTGATTGGCTCATGCACATGGATTCGACATGCGCAAGGGTCCACAGAAACCAGCCGAGAACACAAAACTCTGAACGGAAGACCAGCAACTCTGACAAGCAAGGGTCTGGTGTTGCTAGGTCCACCGACAACTGCATGCCACCACATGGCTCCCTGCACACCCCCAAGTGCATCCCCCAACCCTAAACCCCAAAACCCTAAACCCTAAACCCCAAAACCCTAAACCCTAAACCCTAAAAACCCTAAAGCCTGAAAACCCTGAAAACCCTAAACCCTAAACCCTGAACCCCCAGGTGCATCCTGGACCCTGAACATCAGGCTGCTTGCAGCCGGCGTCACATTGCCAGGAGGCGGGGGCCAGGGCAAGCAGGGCGCCAAGAGGGCCAGGGAGGCCCCTCCTAGGGTTTAGGGCTTAGGGTTTAGGGTTTAAGTTTTAGGGTTTAGGGTTTAGGGTTACTTTAACCCGCCATAACCCAACTTACTAGCCCTACTTACTAAGTCAAAAGAGCTTCCAAGCAAGAGTTTAAGGGATCGAGTCAGGGTTTAGGGTGGAGCGCTGTTCAAGGGTTTGGGGCTGAAGGCCACAGGCTTGAGGCGAAAAGCTTTCGAAGGGTGTCAAGACTGTTTCTGCCTGCAAAGTTCCTTGGAGCTTCGGACGATGATCTTGTGGGTTTAGGGTTTAGGGTTTCGGGTTTAGGGTTTTGGGTTCAGAGAATAAAGCTTCTAGCGTCTTAGAGCGCACTCAAGGCGAGTTCAACCGAAAACGCCCCCAAGCCACAAGCCCTTTGATACCTTTAGCCCTAGGCCCGAGCCACCGAGGGCTGAGAGTTTACGGTTTAAAGCCTTCACAAGTGACACGAGGGCCCTGATTTAAAAATCCAAAAATAAGCCTCCAAAAAAAGCCCGTAATTTCGACTCACTGGATGCTGAGCCCTCCGCCCACCAGGGTGGTCAGCACCTCCCAGGCAGGTCTGTGAAGGGCAACGTGCGTTGTCTAGGCTGCTGTTCAGGAACTTGCACCAAAGTTGCCAGAATAATAGAAGTGAAAATGAGATCTTAAACTCCCTGACCAAGCTAGAACCCTTAACTTTAACTTCTAAACCCTAAACCCTGAACCCTGAAAACTCTCGAACCCAAAAACTCGAAGCGTCCCGAAGCCTCGGCAAGCGGTCGGCAGGGCGTGTGCATGGCGAGCCTGTGTGCATCTTGGGTTTTGGCATGGGTTTGGGGTTTCGGTCTCGAGCCCTTAAACCTTTAAGCCTGGACTACACTAAGCCCAAACCCTCAACCCTATTAAACCATAAACTAGCCCAAAGCACCAAACCCCAAAACCTCAACCACCCCAAAACACCAATCCCATTTTCTATTCCCTGAGCCTCTCAAGCCTACAGACTCTGCCAGGAAGCCAAGCCCGAAACCCTGAGCTTCAGGGGCTTTTCGCAGCCTTGCCTTCTTCCATTTAAAGTACGGTACATATTTCCTGTACCCCCAAAAGGACACCCAATCTATACACTCACCAATACTACAAGGGAACCTTATCTACACTCACCAAAAACGGCAATAAAAACCCTACTTCATTTAGGGGTTTGGGGCTTGGAGTGCGGCGCTGAAGGTTTCAGATGTCCGGCTTCGGGGGGTTGGGGATTTGTAGTGCAAGCTTTGGGATTTGGGGGCTGAAGTTTAGGGCTTTGGTTTCTTTAAGTCAAGAGGCTTCGGGGTTGAAGGTCCGAATTCTCAAGGCCGCAAGGGTTGAGGGTTTAGGGTTTAGGGTTTAGGGCTTAGGGCCGGACATGGGTTAAGGGTTTCGGACTTGGGGTCGTAGTGAGACTCGCGCAGAAAATCCCATTTGTGCGCCGCAAAGCCTAAAGCCTAAACCCTAAACCGTAGACGCTAAAGCCTAAACCCTAAACCCTCAACCCTGCCCCCCAAACCCTGAACCCTAAACCCCAAACCCTAAACCGTAGCCCCAACTGGATCCGCAGGCCTGTAGAACAGCAGCCACGCACCTGCTGACGCCAAGGCCACATTGCCATAGGCTGTGCCATCCATGGCTTCTTGCCCCTACACCCTAAACCCTAAACCCTAAACCCTGAACCCTAAACCCTAAACCCTAAACCCTGTTGCGAAAGGTACAGCATGCCAAGGTCTCCAATGGTTCATTAGCCGCGGCCTCACGGTGCACAGACCCCCCAACATCTTTGAGTATACCTTGCTTGCGACGACCAAATCGCTTTCAGTCTGGAGCCAAAACGACTCGTCTTCTTTATCAAGCCCCTCTCCCTGCGCACCCCCTTCACTGAAACCTGAAAGCAACTCAAGAGAGATCCAGAAACAACCAGCAAAATTTTCCGCCCCCCGAATACTCTTCAGATTCTCGATGCTGAAATTCACGCAGCTAAGTCGCCAAAAAAACACACACACACACACACACACACACTGTGTCAGTAAGATGGGCCTTTACAGAGCATTCGCGAGTTGGCATCATCACCCTTGGTGCAGAAGCACAAGTTCGTGAAGCGCCTCAGGGCCTCCTCGAAGCCGCTACTGCTCCTAAACGCGCCCCAGGCAGCGAAGGTTCAAGCTCAAGTCCAACGACTCCCACATTTTTGCCCAGGCATGCAGCTGCCTGTACATGGTCTGCCTACCCAAAAGGATCTGAGGGCAGGTAAGAGGCATAGGTAGCCGCCTGAGCACACAAAGGGTCTTGAGGCATCGACATCAAAGCGCGGACATCTCTTTACAGGCGCTGGGGCTGCCAGGCAAGCCTGGACCTGTACGATGGAAGACCAGAATCTTGCAAGTGAATCACTTGGAGGGCCCAGGGGTTAGTTATAAGTAGGGTTAGAAGTACAGCAGCTCTACCTAGAATACTATTGCCACCCCAAGGAACCTCCACGCGGTGAATTGTGGGATCTACTGAGCAGTAGGGGAGTCCCAACAAAACGCCAGGGGCGCCGCAGGCTCACACCTGGGAGAAGCGCTGGAGTGGATTTGGAGGGGGGCCCCACATAAGTTGTAATCTCTGTCGCTGTTGATGGGCAACATGGGGATTAGGGTTTAGGGTTTAGGGTTTAGGGTTTAGGGTTTAGGGTTTAGGGTTTAGGGTTTAGGGTTTGGGGATATCCTGTAGAAGCTTCGAAAAAAAAACTCAATTTCCACCCCCCTCAAGGCCTGGGAGAAGCGGAAGGCCGCGAAGGGCAAGGACTCGGCCCTCCGTGAGCTCCTCGAGCCCTAAACCCTAAACCCTAAACCCTAAACCCTAAACCCTAAACCCTAAACCCTAAACTCGGCCCTCCTTGCGCTCCTCTCGCTCCTCTCCGAAGGCGCGGCGGCCACCTGGGGCGCAGCAGCAGCCGAGCCCCGCTCGAGGTCGTCCTGCGGGGCCTTCGTGGCCTTCCTGGGCTGCCGTGAAGGATTGGGGATGTTGCCCCTTGATACTACTTGAAGGTTCATAGTACTGTACTTGTAACCCTATACTTGCAATACCCCCAAAGCCGAAAAGGGGTTATTAAGTAGGGCTATTCGCCCATTTGTAAGTGGTTTGTAAGTCCCATGAACCTCCAAGTAAGAGGTCGTTAAGAGGGATTAGAATAGGGGGGGGGTGCCAGAATCCCTGTTCAGGATCCCAAGCGAAGGAGCTTAACTCAAGTTACCATAAGAAGGAACCACGCGTCTTTCATTGATGTGTATTTAACATTTTTTAAGGTGTTCCCTTTTTCGTCGAGCTCCATAAACGCAACCCAGCTGCTTGTTCTGTGCGTCCTGGCTCTGTGCAGCATCCTTGCAGGTCCCGTCGCGCATGTCACTGTGAGAGCTCAGGAACAGTCGAGACCCTAAACCCTAAACCCTAAACCCTAGACCCTAGACCCTAAACCCGGTTTTCGGGATGGGGTTTAGGGTCTAGCTTAGGGTTTAGGGCGTAGAGGGTTGAGGGTCTGATTCCTCAACCGCATGCCCAGAAAGCACGAAATAGACCTTCCACTATATGAAGTAGGGTATATATTTCTTGTATCCCCAAAAGGACACCAAATATATACACTCACCAATTTTACAAAGGAACCTTATATACACTCACCAAAAACAGCAATATAAACCCTGCTTCATATGGAGGAGGGGGGGTGAGAAGATCAGAAAGCATTGGGATTTCGCGGGTACCCTCAGGTAGCCCCCAAAAGGATGGTCTAGGCTTTGGATCAAACCCCCGCCCCCAATATAAGGATCCTCTAATTAAAACCCTAAAACCCTAAAACCCTAAACCCTAAACCTCTGGAAAACCAAAACCCAACACCATGTCATGTGCAGCACCCGGGGTGCGCCTTTGCGCCCTGGGGCTTGGGTGGAGTGATCCACCCGCAGAACGCCGCAGTGAAGGGATCCACGACAACAAAATCCTCCGGAACTTAGGGTTTGGGGATTCGGGTTTGGGGTTTAGGGTTTAGGGTTCAGGGTTCAGGGTTTAGGGTTTAGGGTTTAGGGTTTGGGGTTCGGGTTTGGGGTTCGGGAGGGGATCTGGTTGCGGCCATCGCCCTCAACGTAAAAGCCTTAAGCCAACCAACCTGGCCTGGAAAGCCCTGAACCTAAAGCCTCAGCCTTCGCTTATATGTCAGGGTTAGCTAAACCCTAAACCCTAAACCCTAAACCCTAAACCCTAAACCCTAAACCCTAAACCCTGAGGGTTGAGGGTTCAGGAGTGAGGCCAGATCTCTGTTGCTCTAGAATCGGCAGCTCTGGCTTGGTTACTCCCTGGCATCCGAGCTTTGGAAGAACCTCGGCCGAGTCCACGCAGAACCTTGCTCTCATCGTTCAGCGTTCGAGATCTAAGGTTAGGACTCAGGGTTTAGGGTCTAGGGTTTACAGTTTAGGGTTTAGGGTTTAGGGTTTAGGGTTCACGGTTTAGGGTTTAGGGTTCAGGGGCAGAATCCACGCGAATCCGACTCCTGAGCCCTAAAAGCACCACAACAGGGAAATGGATATACATAAACCCTAAACCCTAAACCCTAAACCCTAAACCCTAAACCCTAAACCCTAAACCCTAAACCCTAAACCCAACATATCTACATAAAACCCACCAGCGGTCCAGGAAGATGGCGAAGAGGACGGAGGTGCCCCAAGTGGCCTGGCGCTCGGGGCTTTGAGAATTTTAGGGTTTAAGGGTTTGGGGTTTGGGCTTTAGGGTTTAGGGTTTAGGGTTTAGGGTTTAGGGCTTAGGGTTTGGAATTTCAAGGTTTAGGCGTTTCAAGGCCTGCATACAAGTGAAGTTCTACCATTTCTCGCCCCAAGGAATGCCCCCGAAAGTCCCTCGTGGCGATCTCACAAGGCCTGGCCTTGCCTAACCCTGAACCCAAAACCCTCAGACCTCAACTCAAAGATCCCTAAACCCTAAACCCTAAACCCTAAACCCTAAACCCTAAACCCTAAACCCTAAACCCTAAACCCTACTACCCCCCCCCCCCCATCCCCCGAACCCGGAGCCCCAGGGTGGCCAGCATGGAGTTCCAGGAGTCCAGGCTGAAAAGGCCAGCAAGGTGCATGCCTAAGCAGAGGTTTAGGGTTTAGGGTTTAGGGTTTAGGGTTTAGGGTTTAGGCTTTAGGGGGAAGCCTAGGCACAGTAGAAATTCCGGATGGCTGTGTACGAACTCCATTGCAGGAAGGAATTGGTATTGCCAGAAGAAGTAATTCCCCATGTAGTTTAAGGGTTCTTGAGACGGCAACCCATCTTGGAGCGAGTCTCCCTATTGGTTGCATGAACCTGCCAATCTCAGGCCTCTAGGTTGTGGGGCCCCAGTTGGGTTCCTTTTAAGGTGTAGGAGTGGTTTAGGCTTCAGGGCTTGAATTGAGAATTTAAGGTTCCGGGTTGCCCAACACAGAGGCGATCATAGCAGGCGGTCCCACAAGGCATCACCCGTTGAGAACTGACCAGCTACTGCTCTTTACAGCAGCCCTAAACCCTAAACCCTAAACCCTAAAACCCAAACCCTAAACCCTAAACCCATTCCGGCCCTTCCCTGCAAGAGAGCTGCAGATGGCCCAGGGCCAGTGGGTCAGGTAGATCGTGTAGGAGAGCTTCCTGGCAACCACAGCTTGGAGGTTCATGTGGGAGTTCTAAGTAGGGCTATACTTATGGTAGCTATACTTATCAGCCTTTTTAGTGGGTACTTATAACCCCACTTCCAACTCCTCATGAACATCCAAGTAGACCCCAAGGTGAGTCAAAGAAAGAGCCCCTGAAACCCCTCCCGGCAGCCCTTGAACCCCATGTCTCCTACAGCCCGTAAACCCTAAAACAACAAACCCTAAACTCCGAAACCCAAAACCCTAAAAGCCCTAAACCCAAACCCTAAACCCTAAACCCTAAACCCTAAACCCTAAACCCTAAACCCTAAACCCTAAACCCTAAACCAACCAGCCCCCACACACACAAAAGCCCTCAGAACCCGTTTCCCCCCCCCCCCTGAAGCGCAGGCGAGGGCGCAGCATGGAGGCTGCCAACTTGCGGCTGCCCTCTGTGAGGCTGAAGAGCAGCCTGCTTCTCAGCTGGACTTGAAAACTCTTTTTAGGGTTTAGGGTTGAGGGGTTAGGGTTTAGGAGTGAGGGTTTAGGGTTTAGGGTTAGGGTTTAGGGTTTAGGGTTTAGGGTGTAGGGTTTAGGGTTTAGGGTTTAGGGTTTGGGGTTTAGGGTTTAGGGTTTGGGGTTTGGGGCTGAAAAGCAGCCTGCTTCTCAGCTTCTGGGGGTTTCGGGCCCTGGCCTTTACTACATTCTTGCATTATTACGACATGTTCTTTCATCATTATAATGTTGTATCTTCCTTTATGGCAATTATTTTTACATCACGATATGATTACGTGAGTGTGCTTGCTATGTTATGATACCCTTTCACACAGTTCGGAGAGCCTCGGCCCGAGAACGGGGGAAAGACTCCGAGCAGGGGCCTGAAGGAGTTGCAGTCGCAGCTGACCAGCACAACCAAGGCCAACTGCAGAGGCCCTGCGATGAAAGTGGGTTGATGGTTAAGGGTCTTCAAGCATGGTTTAAGGGTCTCAGGGCTTAGGATTTAGGGTTTTAGGGTTTAGGGTTTAGGGTTTGGGGTTTAGGGTTTAGGGTGTAGGGTTTAGGGTTTGGGGTTTAGGGTTTAGGGTTTAGGGTTTCGGCGCCCCCCCCCGGTCTCCCAACGAGCTTGGGACAGTCCTGTGACGAGGTTGTTGTAAGCGATGAGGGCATCGACCTTCTGGCAAAGTAGTCGGATCCCAATACCCCTAAATTAAGGAAGATTCCTTACAATAGGAAATTTTAGTACCTCTATCACGATCCCTATTAAGTAGTGTTAGTATAAGGAGGAGCATGGCCCTTACTATGATTGAAAGTACATGCCTTCGTTAAGGGGTATGGGGCTCTCTGGGATCCTACTTGAGGTTCATTTGGGTGGTTGTAAGTAGGGTCATAGGCATGGCACCTATACCACCATCTTCAGGGTGCTTAGGGTTTAGGGTTTCGGGTTTCGGGTTTAGGGTTTAGGGTTTCGGGTTTAGGGTTTAGGTTTAGGGTTTAGGGTTTGGGCTTATAAGCCTGATTGTAACTACCACAACTTAGCATGTTCTGAATGTGTGCGGCAACTTCGGTGCCTCGGGCGCTCTCTGTGCGGAGATCAACTTATATAAACTTTGAGACTTTAACTGCTGAGACTGTTCTGCAAAGGTGCACTCCAGAGGATGTTTGAAACGAACTGAAGCGTGCTTCAAGAACACTTGCCAAATCTGTAAGGCGGCCATGGGCAGCCCGGTCGTCGGCAGACAGAAGGAACAGCCAAGCAGGACAATGATCAAGAAGTCACTCCTGTGGCGGAATCAAAAGACTCGGCTTTAACACAGTTTTGCGGCTACGCGAAGAGCTACCAGCAGCTTCGTGAAATACTGGGGGGTTCCCAAAATAAGGGTACCCTTTTTGGGGTCCCTTTCACGGGATTCTCTTCTATTTGGGGTATAAACAGGGTATATACCCCTATCCGCCGACCCTTGCGGCGTGTTGGATGGGAAAAGGTACCCCCGCAAAACGCGGGGGGGGGGGGGGGGGGGTACCCGGGCAGCTTTTCCATGGAGGGCCAGGCCACCCACACCGTTTCGGATGTCCTGGGGAGGCCCGCGCGCGCGGGCGGGGGGGGGGGGGGGGGGGGAGGGAAGAAGAGCGAGAGAGAGAGAGAGAGAGAGAGTGAGAGTGAGAGCGAGAGGGAGAGAGCGAGAGCGAGCGAGACAGAGAGAGAGAGAGAGAGAAAAGAGGGACACAGGGAGAAAGAGGCAAAGGGAGAAAGGGAGAAAGAGTGGGAGCAAGAAAGAAAGCGAGAAACGAGAAAGGGAGCAATACATTGAATTGAAATGGAAACGGACAAAAAGAAAAGGAGACACCAACATAGACAGAAGGAGAGAGATGGTGAGAGAGGAGAGAGGGGGGGGTGACAGACAGGGCAGCGGAATAAAGACGGAGCAGAAAAACAAAAACAAAACGATGCCCACTTCGAGGTTTCCTGTTTTGCGGGGCGGGGGCCGGCCCGTGCCGCTAGGCCTAAAATATTTGGGAGATACCCACATGTGCTGCTGAAAGGATCGAAACAACAACAAAAACACGCAAAAGAAGCCAAATCTCCAGGCCAACATCCGGGTCTCCGGCCCGGTGCCACGAAACACACAAGCCCCCTGGAAGCCCTGAGCCCCACCAAGGTAGGGAAGCTGAGGGCTTGCGGTCTAGAGGCCTAGGGCTTTCAACATGCTTTCAACCCTCAGCCCTAAACCCTAAACCCTAAACCCTAAACCCTAAACCACCCTAAACCCTAAACCTCCAAGCCCTAAGCCCTAAGCCGTAAGCCCCAAGCCCGAAACCCGCCCTTTCGTCTAAGTGCCCGACAGAAGCCAGACCTGCCACTTTCGAACCTCCGCTTTTTCCGAAAAGCCCACTTGGGTTTGGGGTTGAGGACCTTGGGATTTAGGACCTAGGGGTTAGGGTTTGGGGTTTAGGGTTTAGGAGTCTTAGGTTTCCGGAAAGCTCGCTTGGGTTTGGGATAGAGCCCACTTGGATTTGGGATGTCCGGCCTAGGGCTTACGAGCTTTAAGTCCTAACCCGCAGCCAAAGATCAACCCCGACCCTATGCAAAACCTTGCAGAAGCCCTGGCAGCGACGTTTGAACATCTTGCGTCGCTTTCGAACACCCAGGGGCCCGAATAACCCCTGAATTAAGGACTACTCCTTAAAATAGAATAGGGTTCCTTATATGGTTTAGGGAATGTTTCTTAATTAACGGGTATTGGGCACCCTCATCCCCTGAACTGCGAGCGCTTGGGCTTTAGGACCATGTGCCACTCAAACTCAAACTCAACCACCGCGGCAATCCTACGCGCTCAGCCCCAGTAAAGTGTGCTCCAGGGCTTCAATGCTCAGGGGGTGTGGGTTAACGGCTTAGGGTTTAGGGTTTAGGGTTTAGGGTTTAGGGTTTAGGGTTTAGGGTTTAGGGTTTAGGGTCCCTAAATCTGAAGCCCAGGAGCCCAGGCGGGCAACGTGGTCCGCACAGTGATCTGCTCCAACAGTGCCCCCATGAAGGGGACCCAAATCCTTTCAGTGAGATGTGGAGTTTCTCAAGTTTCGGGGCTTGATGTTTAGACCCAAATCCTTTCATTGAGATGTGGAGTTTCAAGTTTCGGGGTTTGATGTTTAGACCAAAATCCTTTTGTTGAGATGTGGAGTGTCGGGTTTAGAAGTTTAACTTTTAGGGCTAGTTTCGAGTTCAGGGCTCCAGGGCTCTAGGGATGAAATAGTTCGGGGTGTCATACGGTGGATGGAGGAAATCTTGCACCGCCTGTGACCTTGTTGCTAGAGGCTGCGCCTACTTCTGGAGACTGTGGATGGAGGAAATCTTGCACCACTTTCAAGGGTGCAAAACATTCTCTCCCCTCTCCCCCTTTTTAACATTGCGGTGAAAAGCAGATTTTCAAGATTAGGCCCAATGACATAAATCTTGCACCGCTTCCATCGTGACAAGAGCCAATGTTAAAAAGGGGGTGCGGGGTTGGCGTCAGACTCGTTTTGGAGTAGATCAAGTCGGCGGTGCAAGATTTCCTCCATCACCCGACTGAAATCCCTTGCCACAGGCCGGCCATGCAAAAGCGGTGCAAGATTTCCTCCATCCACAGTCCCCAGCATGGGCTTTAACAAGGCTTCAGATTGCACGTTGCCGGCCAACATGTGCTTGCCTGGGGCTTCAAAGTACTTCTAGTGGCGACACATCGGGGTCGAGTTCTGTGATGAGTAGAGATGCTTCGGCGCTGTGCTTGTTAAATTGGTGTGTGAGCAAGAGTCGCAAGGTTCATTTAGTTGGGCTGCGTGACGGTGCGTCGACAACACGCCATCTGCAGATCCGCATTGAGCCTTTGAGGATGACCAGGTCAGCAAACACACGCTGGGCATTCAGGTATCGCGTGACCTGCAAAGGAGATCTGAGTCAAAGCAATCGCTACATGTGTAGCGTTGACTGCATTTTCACAGTCAACGTTCAGTCAACGTTCAGTCAACGTTACAGTCAACGTTACAGTCAACGTTGCGGAAATGCTGGCGGGGCCAGCAAATCCGTGTTTTTCACTATAAAACCCAAAAAAAACTTGATTTTTTGGCTTTTAAGCTTGGAAGCCATGGAATTGCTGGCAGGTGTAGCATTTCGGCAACGTTGACTGTAACGTTGACTGTAACGTTGACTGTAACGTTGACTGAACGTTGACTGAACGTTGACTGTGAAAACACAGTCAACGCTACCAGAAGCCTGACATTAGTTTGAGGGCTTTGAGTCGGATCCACGCGATACACCTGACACGGAGAAGATTTGCATGGCCTCCGCCAGCATGACATGCAGAAATCGACTTGCGCGGCCCCTCCGCAAGCATGACAGGCAGAAGTCGCGAAGTACATATATAGCTGACAGCAGCAAGGTGCGACTCACGTCAGTGGCTCTGCAGTTGTGTCAGCTCTCAAAAAACCTCCTCAGTTGAGTCGGTGGATGGAGGAAATCTTGCACCGCCTGTGACCTTGTTGCTAGAGGCTGCGCCTACTTCTGGAGACTGTGGATGGAGGAAATCTTGCACCACTTTCAAGGGTGCAAAACATTCTCTCCCCTCTCCCCCCTTTTTAACATTGCGGTGAAAAGCAGATTTTCAGGATTAGGCCCAATGACATAAATCTTGCACCGCTTCCATCGTGACAAGAGCCAATGTTAAAAAGGGGGTGCGGGGTTGGCGTCAGACTCGTTTTGGAGTAGATCAAGTCGGCGGTGCAAGATTTCCTCCATCCACCGACTGAAATCCCTTGCCACAGGCCGGCCATGCAAAAGCGGTGCAAGATTTCCTCCATCCACAGTAGTCTTAGGGTTTCTCCAACATGCGGGTCCCTTCTTTGGGATCCTGGCGGGGAGCCAACACGGGACCTTGAGCGAAATGCTATCCACGTGGGGTGGGCATTCCTTTTGATAAGAGTATAGTAGTAGAAGAATGGACATATATGAACTTGTGTAGAATGATACGGGCTTTACTGCCAAGTTTTACTCGAACACTGAAACCTAAACCCTAGTCCTTCATAGCTCCCCAATGTACCTGCCACAAATTAGGTGATCCCATTCCCTCTTCGTTGCCTACGGCCCTTAAGCCCTACACCCTTGCTCCCCGGAAATCAATTCCAACTTACATCCCCTCGAGCTCATCTTACTGTTGGTTAGTAGGGGATGAGGGAATGAGGTACCCCATATCCCACTATATATATATATATACCCTTTAAGGGACCATATAGGGTACCTCATTCCCCCATTCCCTACGAACCAACAGTAAGTCATTCGAGAATCTGCGTTGGGCTCCACAGGTGGATGATGCGCCCGTAAGCCTGCCAGCAGCGGGTTTAGGGTTTTGGGTTTAGGTTTAGGGTTTAGGGTTTGGGGTTTAGGGTTTAGGGTTTAGGGTTTAGGGTTCAGGGTTCAGGGTTCAGGGTTTGGGGTTTAGGGTTTAGGTGCTCGAGTTAGAAGAGTTCATGGAAGATTCTAAAGTTCTGTCTCTACAATTTTCCAAGTACTAGTATGTTATTCTGCTGACTCGTATCAATTTTTTTGTTGGAGTACCATAATTTGTTGCATTCCTTTTTCTTGAAGTCTTGTATTGTTCAATTCTTACACTCGTAAATATTCTGATATTCGTATTTTGAATATGAGTGGATCATACTAGTATACTATTCTATTTAATACTATTGTACTATTAAAGTGCAATATTGTTTTTGTATATTATGATATTGCTATACTGATGGTATAGTGTTTAGGGTTTAGGGTGGCTGAGCTTTTGGCTTTCACAGTTTCTCTATACCATCTGCAGGGCTGCGGGATAGTGCCCACCGATTTGCGGCACGCAGGGAATCTCAAGCAGGTTTCCCAGGGTTTCCTACACCTGAACCCGAAACCCAGAGCCGTAAACCCCAAGCTCTTAACCTGAAACCCCTAACCCTACTGCCTTCGCCCGTCGCATAGCTCAACGATGCTCAACGAACATCGTTGACATAAGCCTAAACCCGAAACCTGAGCCTCGAACCCTAAATCCACGGTTTGGGGTTTCTTAACTTGCTTGGATGCCTGGCTTGCTAGGCTTTCTGTGGATCCTTCTAAAGAGATTTAGGGTTTAGGGTTCGGGGTAAGGGTGAGTCGTACGTAGTATGGAATAGGGGGACAAAGGAACATAGGTGGAATGATGTCTTGCAGTCGGTCTGGGGAGGCCGTGAGATAATTGTATCATGGTATACTGGTACACTAACAGTAATAGTATCATAAAATAGTAGAATGGTATTATTGTAGAATTGCAGAATGGTGTAAATAGTGCGATTGCGTGATAGTGTAATAGTGTAATAGTGTGATAGTGTAATAGTGTAATAGTGTAATAGTGTAATAGTGTAATCGTGTAATAGTAGTGTAATAGTGTAATAATGTAATAGTGTAAGAATGTATGAGTGTAATAGTGGAATAGTGTAATCGTGTAATAGTAGTGTAATAGTGTGATAATGTAATAGTGTAAGAATGTATGAGTGTAATAGTGGAATAGTGTCATCATGTAATAATGAATGTGTAATGGTGTATAAGTGAATTAACATCATATTGCAACAGTGCAGTAATGGGATAGTGCAATGGTGTGGTAGTGTAGCAGTGCAATAGTGCCATAGTAGTATACCTTGGCATAAAAATATAAGAACACATATGTAGCAATTACAAATTCAATCATGCAAGCATATGGGTGTTTCCCAAAATAGGGGTACCCCTTGTATACCCCAAATGGAAGAGAATCCCCTTAAATGGGACCTATTTTCGGAAACCCCCATATTCTAACACATAATACGGCCCTAAACCCTAAACTCCCTAAACTCCCTAAACTCCCTAAACTCCCTAAACTCCCTAAACTCCCTAAACTCCCTAAACTCCCTAAACTCCCTAAACCCTAAACCCTAAACCCTGAACCCTGAACCCTAAACTCCCTCCAGGCCTGGAGGTCTCCAGTCCACGCCTCCAGAGCCAGCAACACCAGCCAGGCAATCGCCGTGCGCAGCACGTACAACGAGGCCAGCAGGACCTCGAGGGAGCTTTCGGGGGTTTTGGGGGGGGGTTTTCAGGGATTTTGGGGGTTTTGAGGGGTTCTATATAGGGGGTTTGAGGAGTTTGGGGGGTTTTGGGAGTTTTTGGGGGTTTTGAGGGGTTGTAGAGTTTTAGAGTTTTAGGGTTGTAGGGTGTTAGGGTTTCAGGGGTTTAGCGCTTTGGGGCTTGAAGGTTTACATGAAGGTCGATGGGCATTATAAGTAGATCTAGAAGTCTAGAAGTATGGCAACTATACTTATGACGCGTACATATAACCCTACTTAGAACTACCCATGCACTTCCAAGTGGAAAGACTGGAGTCTATAGGATTAAGGCTTGAAGACGTATCAGGAGGTTGAAGTTGGAGGTAGCCTTTTCGGGTTCCAAGGTTTTGGGCCTGCTGAGCGTTGCTTGTTTTGTTGTAGGGCTTGGGTGTTAAAAGTTGAGGATTGACGGTGGATGATGCTTTTGGGGCTAGAGAGCATTGCTTATCCATCCGATTCGCCGTACAGAGTTTAGGGACTGTATGCTTCTAATCCAAGTCACAAGAAGCTGTCCAACACTCCTCCTCCGCATCCATCTCAAAAAAAACGGGGACACCTTGACTGCAACTCCCTTATTCTGCAGCTGCACGTGTTCACAATGGCCGTAACTCTCAGATCTTGTTCAGATGTCTCCACTCCCCTCCGAGAGGAAAGGCTGCTGACTATGGGCAGACATATTGACCCGATATAGGGTAGTTAACAGCTGGAGGCGGCAGAGGTTCGGGCTGTTCTAAACATAGCCCAGCAGCATAGTGGTACGTCAACAGCGTCGACAGGAACCAGAGTGGGCGGTTCATGGTCCACCACGAGAGCAGCCTCGGAAAGGCAAGTCTCAAGCTTGAAAATCTTCAGCCGTCCATCGAGATGTCTTAGATTTGGGAAACCCTGACATCCAACTCCACACCAAGTATATGCATATAGCTTGTTACGCCCACACACACACACACAAAAAACAAAAAAAACAGGGGCAAACGTGAGGATTCAGGAACAAGCTGCGGGTTCCAGCCGCCGATGGTCAGAATCTCGAGGCCATACTGCACCACGCACCGCCAGCTCGTGCACTGCAAGGCCAATGGCAGGGCTGTGAAGAAGACTGCCACAATGTACCTGAGCATATCACAAGACCTTGCCGCATACCGCGTCTTAGGGTTCAGGGTTTAGTGTTTAGGATTTAGGGCACCGACATCAGCCAACCAGTGCCACTACCAGCAGCTTGAACCACGGGGCGGCGGGATGAGGCGCGCCACCTTCTTGCGCATGTGGTCCCCCCAGCTGGCATCCTTCCACGTGGCTGAGGACAGCCAGCCAGAGATGAGCATCATTCCCATCATCAGTTCCACACCATGGTCCACAGTCCTGAAATTTTAGGGTTTAGGGTTTAGGGTTTAGGGTTTAGGGTTGAGGGTTGAGGGTTGAGGGTTGAGGGGTTAGGGTTTAGGGTTTAGGGTTAGGGTTTAGGGTTTAGGGTTTAGGGATACAAGACGAGCAACCCTAAACCTTAGCTCTGTTAACCCTGACAGCCCTAAGCAGGAAGCAGCAAGAGTTGCCTGTTCACTGGGATGTCCTGCGCCAGGCACGCAGTTTAGGGTTTGGGGTTTCGGGTTTCGGGTTTAGAGTTTAGGGTTTAGGGCTGAAGGTTGCAGGTTTCACGATGGCTTAGGAAAATGGCACCTCGGCAGAGGAAGGGTCTAGGGCTTTGAAGCTCAGGGTTTACTACAGGGTTTAGGGCTGAGGGTTTAGGGCTTAGGGTTTAGGGTTTAGGGTTTAGGGTTTAGGGTTTAGGGATGCAACCCAAGCTCTGGTACGGCACGTAGTGGGACAACTGCACGCGATGGTTCGGGGCATTCAGCAGCTGCTGGTGGAAGCCAACCAAACCCAGGATGTAGAATGCCTCAACTTGCCACGGTTTAGCGTTTTAGGGTTTAGGGTTTAGGGTTTTAGGGCTTAGGGTTTTAGGGCTTAGGGCTTAGGGCTTAGGGCTTAGGGCTTCGGGCTTAGGGTTTAGCCACACATGCGTTAGATTTGCTGGCATCAACTGTACAACTCTGCCATACAAGATCTACTGCTCTTTGCAACGCAACCCCTAAACCATAAACCCTTAAACCTCAAGGCCCTAAAGCCCTAAAGCCCTGAAGCCCTAAAGCCTTGAAGCCCTAAAGCCCTAAAGCCCTACAGCCCTAAGGCCCTAAAGCCCGAAAGCCCCAAAGCCCCAAAGCCCTACAGCCCTGAACCCCAAAGCCTTCACATCTGCGGAAAGTTAGTCCCGCCTTCACACGGTCAAAAGTCACCACGGCCTTGGAGCCTTCCGGCCGGAATGCAGCGAGCGTGCGGCCCTCCATGTCCGAATCGGCAGAAAGCAGACTCTCTGCTGGTTCCTAAACGGGGTCTTGCGGGCTACCTGAGCAAAAACAAGTAGCTGCAGCGAAAGTCGCCGTAAAGCAAGAGATGACAGATTCAACCATGAGCCACTTCGGCGTTTTGACGTTTCCAAACCAACACTTCCACAATGGCAACGGAATCTGCACCGCCTGAGGAATCGGAAACATTGAGTCCACATTGTCGCTGGGAGATCTGGAATCGGTTGGGACTCATGCGTGCGTATCCCTAAGCCCTAAACCCTAAACCCTAAACATCCCTAAACCCTAAACCCTCATGCGACTTGTTAATCCACCCAGCACCGAATGTGTCGGTCTCAACGACTGGCATTCCTAGCTACAGCGGAAAATGATTCGCAGCTGCCAGGTTGAAAAGCAGACAAGTTCTCCTAGTTGTCCAGTAACCTGGGGAATTAAAGGTTAACCTTTAGGAATATAAGGGGATTATACTACACCAAAAAGGTTAAAGGTTACCTACTCTACTACTAGGTTCTAGAGCTTTGCAGGCTCGGTAGGGTTAGGGAACATCCGCCTTAAACACTACCAATTCATTGAGGAGATCATGTTCAAGATTCCCAAAACTCAGCAGTTGCCCCAAATGGCGCTTGGTGACATCATCTTGCATTGCCTGGTAATCTGGCTGCTGCGCTTATCACTACGTGCAGGCCCAACTTCTTGCGAGCTCCCAGGGCATTCAAGCTTGTGATACTTGTGGGATTCAGAGGATGGGAAGAAAGGAGGCGCAAGTGCTACGGTGTAAATCATGTAAATCATCCTGCCGTTCTCGTGAGGCATCCATTATGGCCCACACGTAGTGATGGCTCAGCCTTCTTTCGGCTGGGGACAGTGCCCTTTGGGCACTCCCAAATCGGGATGAAGCACATCAACGTATGGCTTCGGGTAACCATGTCAAAAAGGCGAAGGCCTAGTCCACCACACTATCCGACTCACCCATAGGCTTGGGACATGTTGGCAAGGAAGGCCTCCACGTCAAACCATCCTTCCTTAAACCAACCACTGTGGCTGGATGGAACGTCTTGGCATCTTGAACAAAACTCTGGAGACTTGAGCTCGGCAACGTCGGTTTCCAGTCATCCTTTGCAAACATTAACAGCGGCTCCGTCGCAACTTCCCTGCCGGGGGCCGAGCTTCTGCACCAGTTCCAGTAGTGACCCTCGTGGTTATGCTGCCAGTTGGACAATCTTTGGGACAAGGAAGGATTCCAATCAGGAGGATTTGACAATACCTCTCAAGCGCGTCAACGTCCAGGTGCCGCTTGAGACGCTCAGGAACATCGTCCAAGCGGTTGTACCCTTCTGGGCCCCGGCATTCGGCCCTCGCAAGGCCCAGGAGAAGTAACTGCCCACTTTCAGCAGACTGCTCAGCAAACCTCGCGTTCAGCTCGGAAGGCGCAGCATTGAAACCAGCTGCAGTCACAGCGATGTCTCTAAGAGTCCGCCCTCCTGCAGAGAAATCCATGCTCACGCGATCAGTGCTGGCACCGCGATATTTGAAGCTCACTGTCTCCGGACGCTGGAGTTTCAACACCACCACCGAAGCTAGATGCTTCTTGGGATGCACGAACCAAACGTCCTTCCCAGTGATTCACCAGCACTTTTGCATCTGCTTTGAAAGGTCACAGGTTAGCGATCGCACTGAAATGCGAGTGCTGTACAAAGTCGCACCGAAGGGCGCGGGTCGGGAGGGCGGGAGAAGCTTGAGCAGCAGTGCACGTTTCGGCTCATCACTATAGTCAGTGATTCACCAGCACTTTTGCATCTGCTTTGAAAGGTCACAGGTTAGCGATCGCACTGAAATGCGAGTGCTGTACAAAGTCGCACCACACCCGTGCCTTGTAGCGTATCTTCACCATCAGTCGAAGCTTCTCCATTAGTCGAAACGTCACCCCGCCTCTCATGGCATGACCACGCCTTGACGGAGCAAGGAGTGCCAATGGCACGGTGAAAGTTTGTAGGCAGAAAACTTGGCCGCGGCGTCAAGGCAGCTGTTCAAGCTATTTGCCCAAAGATAGATGTGCTCTTTGATGTCAGAAGGCAACCTCGGCAGGTACATCAACGCACTTATTTCCTGCACGTAGATCTCCATGACCCGGTTGGAGATCCAACGTCCTCGCCTTCTGACTAGGTCTGGTGATTCTGTCACCTGCATCATCCAGGTAGCCCCGCCAGCACGAAGCGAACCTAGATCGAAGTCCTTCACGCCTGGCACCAAACTTCGAGTCAACTTCAGGGCCGTCAAAAGCTTGTCGAAACGAGCTCGCATGGTTGATGGCGACATTAACCAAAGTTTTTCTTCTGGCCCCAGACCTCCGAAAGCAAGGCATATCATTCGCACAAGTTGCGGCTGGTCCACTTTTAGGCATTGATGCCTGGCAGCTCGAAACCTAGTTTTTGGTTCCATCACGGACAGGTAGACGGCCTTCCCATCGTCTCCAGCGTCCTCTGGAAGGACCAAATGTTTTCGCTTTGCTGCGAGCACCTCACCTATCCTCGCTAAACCTCCCCAGGCCAAAGCAATCACCCCTGCGACGCGGGTCCAGCCCCATGTGATCGCCACTGACAACACCGCTGCAAGCACCTGCCACGGGAGCGCGGAGTGATGAGTGGGAGGCTCTTCCCTTTGCCAAGCCAGTGCAAGATCCCATGCCTGCTGCAGCGATCGCCGGACTATTGGGAACTCTGAGGAGACCATGTTTATAGTCTCGGAGAACCAATAATACGGCCAACCATCCTCATAGAGCCATCTGCCGTATCTTGCCAAAGCTTCATTCAGTCTGCCAACGTTGCTCTGAGCCCAACGGCCCACATCGTCCCAACAACAGCCTTCCTCTGCAAGCCAGTCGATCCAGCTGGCCTTCAGCTTGCTCCTCCTGTCACGGGTGAGGGCCTGAACAGGACGTCCATCCAGTAGAGGGGCCTTTGCCCGGGCCTTTCTTCGGTCAGCCTGAGTGATACTCTTTGCAGCGTCCATGGCGGCAACGGGAACTAGTTCTACCAGACCAAGACAGACGACAGACCACCAAGACACAAGACAGAGAGGAAAACAAGCCCTGAAGAAACCCTGAACAAGAACCCGAAGCAAAGCTTGAGGCTCGGAGCACAGAGGCACACAAGGCGCGACGATTGGATGAAGATGGAAAGAGGAGCGGGAACTGGGGCCCTGAACCAGGGAGTTGCAGCCCAGACCCGCGGCAGACCGCAATGCTGAGGATGTGAAAGAGCTTGGCGCAGGAAGCCGACGCAAGGCAAAGGTGGAACGAGCACTGGGACCCTGAACCAGGGAGTTGCAGCCCAGGCCAGAACGAGAATGCCACATGCTGAAAGTGCAGGAACACGGGGCAAAAGGCCAAGACACGTGGTTGAAGCTGGAAGGCTGGAGCGCAGGGATGGATCGAGTGCTGGGGCCCTGAACCAGGGAGTTGCAGCCCAGACCCGCGGCAGAGCACAATGCTGAGGATGTGAAAGAGCTTGGTGCAGGAGGCCGACGCAAGGCAAAGGTGGAACGAGCACTGGGACCCTGAACCAGGGAGTTGCAGCCCAGGCCAGAACGAGAATGCCACATGCTGAAAGTGCAGGAACACGGGGCAAAAGGCCAAGACACGTGGTTGAAGCTGGAAGGCTGGAGCGCAGGGATGGATCGAGTGCTGGGGCCCTGAACCAGGGAGTTGCAGCCCAGACCCGCGGCAGAGCACAATGCTGAGGATGTGAAAGAGCTTGGTGCAGGAGGCCGACGCAAGGCAAAGGTGGAACGAGCACTGGGACCCTGAACCAGGGAGTTGCAGCCCAGGCCAGAACGAGAATGCCACATGCTGAAAGTGCAGGAACACGGGGCAAAAGGCCAAGACACGTGGTTGAAGCTGGAAGGCTGGAGCGCAGGGATGGATCGAGTGCTGGGGCCCTGAACCAGGGAGTTGCAGCCCAGACCCGGACGCGCGCGCGACACACGATCATAGGTGGCGGAGAGCTGGCGCGCAAACATGGCTTGGGAACTGGGACCCTGAACCAGGGAGTTGCAGCCCAGAACCGAGTGAGCATGTGTCGCACAGCCCAGACTGAGGAAGAGATGCGAAGCAACGAGACCGAAGGGCCAAGAAATACGACATCCAGACCAACAACCTTGAAGGGAAGCCGGCCCCTCGCCAGGAAAACCCAAAGAGGCGTCGAAGTCACGGAGGGACCCATACGTGTGGGGTGAACGGCCTGCGTCCCTGACGCAGTCAAGGCTCCACGGACCCAACACAAGAGAAGGAGCCAGCAGGCCCGTCAGCCGACACCAGTTGGCGGCCCATCGTCTGAGTCTGGGCCTCTCGGCATCCCTAAGTATGGCCTCCTCGCTCCAACGCTCAATGCCGAAGCCTTTTATCTGAGGAGGCATTGGTGCATCACGCGTGGGATGGTCAGCCGGCATCGCCCTGGTCGGACAGTACATGTTGCCTGGATACAAACCTGCTGCCAAGCACACCGTGCCTGACCGCCTAGTTACATGTCTTAAGCCGGGGGATGATGACCGTCCCTTGCCTAGAGCTGCCTGAGCGACAAAAGAGTCGCACAAGTTTACGAACCTGGCCCGGCCGTGGGTGAGGGCGACCCACGTGTAAAGCCGCACAAGGGCAGAGGACTCTAAAATGTTAATGTGGACACCACTCTTCCATTCCCAAACAAGCAGGGGGCTCCATTTAAGGCTAAGAGCTAAGTCGGTGGGCACCATGCGTTCGAGGCCCTCCGAGGCAATGTGCTGGCTGCGGTCCTCGCGGCTGATGCGGCAAAGGTTTTGCGAGAAGGCTTGAGCGACCTGGTAGGCAAAGAGCCAGGGATAGGTCGGACCTCTTTTTGCACGCCGGCCCCGAACCTGAGAGTGTTTTCGGCAGCACTCACAAGGCCTAGCGAGAGCATCGAGGCTTACCCGCAACCCGAACAGAACTGTGTCCCTCCGAAATGGCGAACCGAAAGAGCACAAAGAAAGCAAGGTCCTGTTGGCTCCAAGGGAGACAAGAGGCTTCCAGAGACGAAGCACAGAGGGCTTATCAGCAGCTGGGGCTGGCAAGGCCGCAACAATGCACACGCGGGAGCGCCTGGCTTTAAGCAAGATGGCCAGGCCTCGGCACAGTTCAACCCAATCCCTGGAAGGAAACTCACACCCCTCGAACTCACTCCCGAGAAACCCCAAGTGACTTGAGAATGAGGGCAGTGAAAGGAACATGGCCCGAACCCGATCGTTTTCAATCAGGAAGAAAACCCACTCAATGAGGCGCAAGTTTTTGGCATCATAGGCTGGTGACAGTCCTTTGTGAATGGGCGGGCCAACGGACCAGCCTCGAGCTGACATTTCGGCCGTAACCTCAGCTCTTGCTGAGAAAAGCTCGAGGAAATCGAAGACAAAAGCCAGCGGCTTCTTGACACTGTATGCTGCGGACTCAGTGCCAGGAACCTCCTCATGCATGGGGTCGACACGCTGGATGAGGCTGTGGGCCTTACGGATCATGCGCGCAAAGGCCCCCTTCCTGTCTGAAGCCTGCCACAGGTATTGGCTGGTGGATTCCGGTATCTCAGCAACGCACGCGGCACCCTTCTCCTCCGAAGCGTCGGTTGCAAACAGAAGAGGAAGGACTGGGGCCGCGACATCAGCCCCAAGTACAGGAGCGAGAGCAGACAGTAACACGAGCTCCTGTGCTACCGCCCTGGACAACGTGACAGTCTTGGGCTTGCTGGGGTCGGTGTTTGCGGCTGTGACCAATGAGAAAGCTTTGTCAAGGACACAAAAGGCAGGCCGTCTAAAGGACAGAACAGAGGACCAGGCACCGAGGAGACACAAATGGAGGGCATCGCTAGTGGCAGGCAAAACAGCAGCTTCCAAGGTGAGGTCGGCTAATGCGAAGCGTTTTCCAGCGGGAGCGGCGACAGTGCAGAGGCCTCGGTCGAGGGTGGAAGGAGCACTGTTCAGTTCTGCCCCTCCAATCTTAGCAACGGTCTCGTTCACACTGTCCTTCTCAGGAGAGCCAAGAATGGCGTGAGCATGGTAGGTCGCCAATGCTCGGTCCAAGACCTCGCGGCAAGGAGAGGCCGAGGAGGGGGAAAGCGAGTTCCCTATCGCGCGGGGCACTTTAGCGATGCAGAAAAAATCGTCTATTATGAGCCCATCGTGCAGCAACGATTCACGAAGAGGCTTTCCGCCCTGGATTCTTGTAGTCGAGGACAGGTGCCCAGCGCTCTGAAGGAGAGAGAGGTGGGAACTTGTTGCAAATTCCACGCCTAAATGATCACCTTGCAAGACCGACATAAAGCATGCTTGAAAGGAAGAGGGCACTTTCTGGCCCTGGTGCTGCTCCAAAAAAGTGGCAAAAGCCCGCATCTCCTTGACACTTTCAACAGGCAGAGGAGGGTACAGCCGATTGGTAATAGCCCGCGGATGCCCAACCGACAACTGGTGGTAGAAATCACGCCTGTCAGTGACTCCCATCGCCAGGGAAGTAGTTCGAGGATCAATGCTGATGCTGGTGAGGCTCTCCCCACAAGGAAGGGACCCTGACGGGCCGTGAATCCTCCCCTCCACGGAGTTCCTCCCTCTCCTGTCTCCAATCTGGCGGTCGAGCGCTGAGCTTTTGCGTGCATTGAAAATTCGAGTGTACTCGAAGCTGTCCAAAGACAAGTCTGCTGGCACAAGAAGCAGAAGTCCCAGGCTATCCCACAAATGAGCCAATTTGAGGGTCTGGCCAGGGTTCTCCAAAGAGCAGTCTGCGAACTCCTCCGCAGCAGGAGTCCTTGAAACCAGCAGGCTTTGCGGTTCGGCATACGCCATCCAAAGCTCGTCGGTGAGCCAAGGCTCAGGATTCCACTGAGCAGCGCCGACCAAGCGAAGGCGATCGACATCCAAGGCCCTGTACGGATGGAGAGCCTCATCAGCGGTGTCAGGGGGAACATCCTCGCCCGACGGAACGTGGCGGTAGGAGTCCCCAACGGCTCCCAAACGGGTGAGGAGCTCGGAGAGCTCGCAAAGCCGGGCATGCACAACATTCATTCGGCGGCCGGTGGAGGAAGGCACCACACCTTCCTGACCACTACCGTAGGTTCTCACAAATGCTTCGAGGTAGTCCAGACATCGGCGTTGGGGGCCGTTAGGCTGGCACTGCAAAAGCCTGAGAGGCACGAAAGCACAATCCTGGTGCACAAAGTTGAGTGCCATGACCAAGATATGCAAGACTCGCCTGACGCCAATAGTGGCCCTCCGTCGAGAGGACAAGCCCGGACGGGATCGGAAGATGGCCGGATAAGGCAGAGGCAGAGGGAAGAGAACCGAAGCCGGGGGCGCTGGCCCGCGCCGGCCAAGATGCAAAGAACACTTAACAAACTTGCCGAAGGTCGTGCGCGAGTTAATAAATTTCAAATGGGCACACAGGGACCAAGCTCGAAAGGACAAATGCTGTTCGGAGCGATCGGCCGAAGGATTGGCAGGAGGGCCGCTAGGGCCGGAAGAGCCTGCTGGCTTGCATGAATTATCCGAGTGGGCCTGAGCTGTGAGAGGCGCACGCGCCTCTTTCGAGCGTCCACCTCTGCAGGGGGAAGCTTTATCGTGAATAGACCTTGGTTGTCTTCCCCTATATGATCCCGGCCCATCTTCGTGAGCCGAGCGGCAAGGGGTGATACGCGAGGGAGGTGCGAGGGGCCCATCACGACGAAAGGACGCAAAGTTAGAAAAGTCAGTTATTGCTGGTCCTTGGGCTTCCTTGGGAATCTTGGCCTTCTTTTGGGAGCAGCCTGGGATTCGGACTCGCCTTGTCTTGGCAGGGCACGTGAGGGGTTGGCCGCATCCCGGCGACGCTGCGCAAGTAGATCGATCTCGCGAACACTAGCGGACTGAAGGCTCTCATCCTGCCAGCAGCGCTCGCTGGCCTGGGAGCAAACACGTTCGGCGACGGGTCCTCCCCCAAGCTCAACAGGAAAGCCAGGTCCCAGCGCCCCGCGTCGCTGGCTGCTTGCTCGGTAGCAGCCAACGCCAACGCCGTGTGCTCGCGGGCGGCACGGTTGTCCCCTCTTAGGAATGCATCTGCAATGCCGGCCAACATCATCATCATGAGCCCTAGATCCCGAGACCGGTCGTAGCCGCCTGTCCTCTCCAGATAACTCACAAAAGACACTCGGCCCGAGGCCTGTGCCTCCTCCACAGAGGCCGGGAGGGGCAGCGCAGGATAGAGGCGGCGGTGTGCAGATTGAACGACCTGAAGGAAGAAAGTGGAGCTGCCTGCTGCCAGCTCCTGCTGCAACTTCTCCCTCTTGGCCGTTCCCTTTGCAGACAAGCTGGTCGAATTGCCAGAGAGATCCAAGGTCTCGCTCTGAGCAATAAGGTGGGCCACCAGTTGACCCAAAGCCTCCCCTTGTTGAGTAACAGCTTTTGCGAGGGAGGAGCCGTCTGAGGAAGATCCTGCGGGGGCCTGGGAGGCAAAAGGTACCTGCGCCTGAACATGCACTTGCCGTGGAGCTGGAAGCTGTTTTGCCATCTGTTGCAGGGGCATCGCTGGGGGAGCCGCCGCGATAGTCGGAAACTCCTGCTGCAGCCCTGCAGGGGGCAGAGGAGCCGGACTGACTGGGAGCGCCGTCGCCGCGGCTTGCTTTTCCGCAACCAACCTGATTTGGTCTGCAAGGCTTGGAATGACGGCAGCTATTGCGGCCACCTGTTCTGACAACTGGCTCATGGTGATCCTTTTCTTGGGCGGCGGCCTTTTTGGCGAAGCAGTTAGAGGCGCGGCGGTCTCCTCCTGCGCAGAGTAGAATGCAAGGCGGTCTGAGGCCTCCTCTTCGACCCAGGCCTTTGCGGCAGCTATCAGCAGCTCTGGCTGGGGCATGATGTGAGGAGCGTCGGGCAGGAAGCTTTCGAAAACCAGATCGGTCACCGGATCGTAAAGACTCATAGAAGCTAGGACTGCCTCGTCCATGTCCACCACCAGAACATCCACGTCCACACCTGCTGGTACCTCGCCCGCTTCTTCGTCTTCTATTCCAGGCACCGTCAGAACGACAAAAGGTCCCACCACATCCGAAGGAAGAGTTGCAGCAGCGTTCTCCTGAGCCGATGCAAGAAGGGCCGCCGGGACGGCAGCGAGAAAGCCGCCACTCCTCTGCATCACGGGAAGGCACAAGACCTGGCGCCCTGGTTCCGAAGCTGAGCCCAAGGGCCACCTCAAGATGCAAGACAATCCTAGGCTGTTGGGCTCCATCCGCAAGTCGGAGAGCTGCATTGTTAGCGAAGGCTGGGCAAGGGGCGCTGGGCTCCGTAGCAATACACCTTTGCTTCTGCCAACGAGGGGAATGAGTGAAAGACAGCGCGGGATGCAGAGATATCCCCGACAACCGCTCGCAAGGCGGAAAAGCTGGAAAACCTAGCACCGTTAGGCAAGTTAGGATGCCAAAGAACCACGTAGACCGAAGGCCTAAGGTTGAGCGCTTCGCTCGACAGCGGCGTTGCCCAATGTCCCTCGAGGACCTCACGGGCCCAGCAGCCTGCTCTCCAGGCGCGTCGGGCTCGACCTTCCGGGCACAAGCTCGACGCGGACAAGGCACGACACAAGTCAATGCAGTATTGAGGGCAACTAGGAAAGCTGGCAGCAGTGGAGGCACGGGTCCTTGGTGAAGGGCTGGCCAAAGTTTGCGAAATGAAGCCGTCCTGAACGGCCGAAGCAGGGGCAGCCGGAGCTGCAGCAAGGGGTACCTACGATGGAACTGCCTCAACCACCTCCCAATTATCACCTAGACGCGATGTAGCAATGCGAAGCCGTTCAAGGGCTTCCTGGACCTCAGTAATGGCCTGGTCCAAATCAGGGCCTTGGCTCATGCAAGTACCCACGCAACCTCAGTGCACCTGGCCTAGGAACCTGTTGCGGAGGTGGCGTAGCACGCGAGGCCGTGGCAGGCCGCGGGGAGGCCGGAGCCAGCACAAAAGTCCAGAAGAAGGCGAAAGTGGCCACACAACCAAACCCAAACCCCGAAGTGAAAAGTGCGAGGTTGAAGGTAAAGGAGGCCTGACAATGAGCCGGACAGGAGAGACCGAACCAATAGGAGTTGGACCCAAAGTTCAACAAGGACAAGACGTGAGGGAGGGCCTCGACAACGGACCACATCA